TGCGCTGACAAATATCAGGATCTTACCCCCCCCCCCCCCCCCCACTGCTCTCGTGGGTACAGATCATGGGAATTTCCTCTTTCAGATCACACAAAAAAACAGGCGCGTTGACATTAACTACCCTAGCCACGCGGTTCACTGCCGCGCCCGGTTACCATAGTTCGCTCAGAGATAACGTGTCGTCGCCATGACGACCGGCCGTCACGGTTGCCATAGTTCGCTCAGAGATAACGTGTCGTCGCCATGACGACCGGCAGTCACGGTTGTTATGGTTCGCTCAGAGATAACGTATCGTCGCCATGACGACCGGCAGTCACGGTTGCCATAGTTTGCTCAGAGATAACGTGTCGTCGCCATGACGACCGGCAGTCACGGTTGCCATGGTTTGCTCAGAGATAACGTGTCGTCGCCATGACGACCGGCAGTCACGGTTGCCAAAGTTCGCTCAGAGATAACGTGTCGTCGCCATGACGACCGGCAGTCACGGTTGCCATAGTTTGCTCAGAGATAACATGTCATCGCCATGACGACCGGCCGTCACGGTTGCCATAAAATGACCTCCAAGCCCTCCCCCCCACCCCGTGTTTGTAGAGATGTTGCAATAATTGACGATTTCCGTAATTTCCGAGATGAAGACGCACCCCGAACATTTTGCCCGGCGTCAATAAAACGTGACACGCAACATTACAGCCTCTTGAGCACACCCAGGGACACATGGACAATATTTTAAGACTTGAACCCACCCCCCACCCCACATCTCTCTCACAACTTCTCCGCTAACACACAGGAGTGGCGTAGGGGAGAGGGGGGGGAATACGTCGGATAATGTGAAGAATGTGGTCCATAATGCCGTTTTACGATTGCAGTCCACATCGAGGTTGTGTCCATGAAGGGGCCATCCATTCAGTACGTACGCATGGAGGGGTTAGAGGGGGGGGGGGTAACCCAAACGCGTACGCTTGCGTATGGGGGGGGGGGGTCTACTGACACTGTACGTACGCATAGGAAACGGGGGGGGGGGCGGTTGAAGCGTCGATAATCATTTGTCTACATTGGCCTTCAAATTAGTTAGATAGTCCGGCGTTGTGGACGATCTGTTTGCTTAAACACGTGAATATTATGAATCCTTGATCGTTTCTGCGTGGATTAAATATCGGCCGTTCTATAGGATTCGGGGGGGGGGGGGGGGAGAGTGCGTCAGTACGCAGGTGGGGGGGTCAAAAGTCCGCGTGCGCACAGGGAGGGGAGGAGTTGTCAAGTCTTGACAGATTTTTGCGGACCTACTCAATGGGTAGCCCCTAAGGCAGTTTTGTGCGTGGATAACACTGGTCAACACACTTTTTCTGGCATAAGATGCTGATTCCAAATCTGGCATCAGTTTTTGTCTATCACATCAGGTTTTTGAGATATCAAATATTGCATTTTTCAAAAAAAACTGCAGAAGAAAAATATTAAATGAATGTGGATATCTACATAAAATGATATTATAAACACACTATCCTAAAAAGTACAGCACCATATTTTAACACTAAAGCAGTCACTGACTCGCAACAACTTGCAATCATAAGTGACAGAGTTAATTTCGGGTAAAATCAATTAAAATGGGGTATGCCGATAGCATAAAAATGATGTGATAGAGCAAATCTGAGATCAGATTTGGAATCAGCACCCTGAAATTAGTCTAAAACAGCTGCAAAAGTCCAGGCCAGAAAAAAAAATGTTTTTTTTGTTGACCAGTGTAATGTAGCCACTTTTCAGTTTACCACGCTCTTGAGTTTTGTTTGGGAGGGGGAAGGGGTTCTGTAACTTTTAAGACTTCTGAGTTTGTGTTTCTGTTTGTATTCACGTGCATTTATTGACACAAATTCTTGAGATGATGTTTCCATTTCGATGCTATATAAGCTAAAAGCAAACTCTGTTTACGTTCTTTTTTTTTGCTCGTTTCTCCAACTTATATTCCAATTAAATCATGGACACAATGTCATGAAATGGAGGATTTACCATTTTGAACTCTGCAGCGAGCGGAGCATCACGCTGTGTTCTAACGTCGCCGCGGAGAATGGCATCATAGAACCACATCGCAAGCGACTTCAACGAACATCTCCTATCCACGGTACAGGGTGCATACCTTTGCATACATGATGTAAGTAGTGGCACGTATACATCCAACAGACAATTAAGTCTCAGATTTTAAATAATCCAAATTAAGTCAAATGTAGTCGTGCAGTCGTTTGGTGACGGGGCTGGTTAATTCGCGAGCAGCTGAAATCCAGAAACAAGCCCAAGTCGCAGCAAATGCGGACTAAGTGTTTCTTGACCTACTAAGACACCCAACCAACTAGAATTATATTATTATTGTAAACCGGTCATATAAATGCCACAATTTGAATTGTAACAGGCTGGTTTTTCCATACAATAAGTACTGTTAATGTTACAGAAAGTGGTGTTCATGATCTGGCTTCACGAGCTTTTTACTGTATGGGCTGTTTTAATAACGCAAGCTGGCACAGAGGGGGAACTCCCCGCTCCGATTGTGATGATAGGCGAGTGGGGGGGGGGATACTTTAACACAGTGTGATGCACTGCTAGCTGAATCCGACTGTTTTCTAATCGCAAGCCGTGTGCTCTCAGAATTGCACAATGTGGATACAATTCAACAGTGACTACAGTTTGGCATTTTGGGTTGATGTTGTGAGTCATTGAAACAAAAATCAAGTTGCTCCCGAAAGCGTTTTCATGGCGAGTGGTTTATGTACTGCATTGTAGTCTTTCATCCCCGGCCAAGTTTCATTCCTGGCCATGGTGTCATGGCATATGACGTCATCCACATGGGAGAAAGGTTTGTTAATCTATCGAAAACTATGTCGGTATAAACCCTGATGTGTTTTCCTTGTCGCCGGAGGACGTACCAAGCAGCATAACAACTCTGCACCAACAAACCCTCCTTCGTTTACATTAAACGAATTACATTAAACGAATTACATTAAACGAATTACATTAAACGAATTACATTAAACGAACTGGCAGTGGTACACAAACATACATTACCAAAAACTGAACACGTTCGTCAGTAACACTGTGGCCTTAAAGGGAAATATGTAATAAGTAACGTTTCGGGAAATGGCCCTTCTTAACAGCACATGCAAATAATTACATGAGATAATCTTCATTTACATTGTAGATAATCTTTAACACGTTAACATTACCGTCTTTAAAAAAAAGGTTATAGTCTCCCCTGCATCCCCCAAGACACATAGACCAGGGGTGGGGAACGTCCGCCCCGCGGGCCGTACAAGGCCCGCGAAATCATTTGGTCTGGACCTGCCAAGGCAACCGCAGGCGGGACTCGAAATTCAATACATCTAAGAGCAAACCTGGAAAAGCAGTTGCGAGTAGCAGAAAACATCATCAATACCAGCAGCTAACATCACCCCACGCCTCGCCAAAGAGAAACAGTTCCAGCCATCGCATTAGGGGTGAGTTAATTAAATGTTTGACCAAATATAACAGGCTCATTTTTAAGTTGATCATTTTGTATGTCCCGCGAATGATGTTATAAATATTCAAATGGCCCTTGGCAGAAAAAAGGTTCCCCACCCCTGACATAGACGGACAGGCAGGAAGAGGCAAATGCAAGGGTTGATTAATCACGCGGCGCTTTTTGCGAAACTGCCAACCCGTCTCCGGCGGTCGGCGAAGCGAGATGGGCCAGGCGATTTCCCCTTTCGCGTTCACACGAGAGGAGGGCATCAGCAAAGCCGTACTACAAACCGCGATGGGGACCCACGGTAGACACAGCCCCCACCCCCCACCCACCAACACCACCCCAGGGACCTCTTAACTCATCTCGGTCATTCATGTGCAATTGGGACAGAGACAAAGATTCCCCCGTGTAGCCTGAACAGACGTTTGTGGAAAGTGCTGTTGGCGGGTATCAATGAAGGCCGGCACGGCACACGATGGGGCGGGTATCCAGCACCACGCCCGGCCGCCTTTGTCTCCCTAGTGGCGATGTTTTACGCACCGCACCAGCTACTCATTTGAGGCTGAGTCGACCTACGGGAGGCCCAGGACCGGTTCAGACAATCGTCGCTGGTGTTGGCCGTAAACGGGAATCGAACTTGTGTCGCCGGGTTTGCAGCGCAGCGCGATAACCGCTGCGTAACAGAGACGCTCACACAGACACGAAGACACCCAGAGACAAAGATCCCCCGTACAGACTTAACAGACTGTTGGGGCAAGTGCTGTTGGCGAGAATCACCTTTGAAGGCCGGCACGATACACGAGGGCGTGGGTGGCCAAGCACCACGACCGCAGAGACACGCAGACACACACACAGACACGCAGACAGACACACACACACATACGCAGACACACACACACAGATACGCAGACACACACAGGCACGGAGATACGCACATAGACATACACGTGTATATAGTGTGTGTGTGTGCCCGCATCTCCGATTTAGCACGGTTGGATACGTACGGTGCGAAAGAAGTTCAATATACGCACACACATACATGCAGTACCGTACGTAGCGCCGTGGAATAAAACAAAGGTTGAGAAGCACCGGTAACTATAGCGCATTGCGAGAATAATAGCAATAACTTTATAGTAGTCCAAGAATAATAACAATTACATAATTGGCCAAAAATATCCAGATGTGCCCAGACACGCCCGAAAACGATTACTGAGATTCAATGAGGCTTTCCTGGACATACGTAAACAGCATCACAATATTCAGCATCTCCATCACGATCACGTACTTATTCGAACAGGAATTGGTCGCACAAAGTAAGGACCATGCTGACCAAGTATTGAGACTTTCTTGGGATAAATAATCAAAATAATAATAATAATAAAAAAAACTGTGAATATCTGTCGATCCACGGTAGGTTTAAAGCCTCCCCCACGCCGTCTCGGTCGTGGGTGTTGATGTTTTTTAACCATACTTCACCAGTGAACGTGACAATTATACCGGCAAAGGGTTTGTGTACCTGTATGAGCAGAACGGCCATTAGGATCAGGTACTTCACCAACGCCGGCCACGCCGATCCCATCTTCGTCGTATCTGTGCGGCTTCTCATCTGTTCACCAAGCCAAATTCAACACGAATTCCAGAGTCATCTACGATCTCGGCTGATAACTGCAACTCGAAGAGAGATATGTATAAGATAGATGTAATTTCTGGGAACTATTATCCCAGTTGGCGAGGCTGTCAAACGGCGGTTGTGTAGAGAGCAGTGGAGTGGAAAGCTCCACAAACAGTGAGAGGACTTTACTCGCGGCTGCCGCTCTTCCTTATGTGATACTTCCTTATACTCGACCAATTGCAGCTTCCACCAGCGTAGAATTAGTGACTAATTAATGAACACGTAACGAGTCACCTATCCCTCCCACCTCCAACCCCACCCCCCACCGCCCCGGCTCAAGTCATGGTCGCGAATCGATTAAAGAGACCGATGATGATTTTTGTTTGTTTGTTTCAAGTTCGTGGTGACCGTAGCGGCCTCTTGTGGCTGGGGTACTCGCCACGTGAACGTATTGCGTGTACGACTGAGACAATATCGATTCGCTTCCCCCCCCCCCCACACTCGCGTTTCGATGAATGTTTCGTTAAGTTTTGATATTAATCGATTAAGGTCCCGTCCATAAATGACGTCACGCACCTGGGGGGGGGGGGGGTCAGACATTTGTGATGATGTGTCACGAGGGGGGGGGGGGGGTGAGAAATGTGACGACACATCAAAACGCGCAACTTTAAATATAGACAACACGTTCTACTTAATTAAATCGACTTTTTAAATAAATGTATTCTTCTACAACATCAGAGTGCAGTGCCACATTAAATAGGCACTACAATGACAATAGTTTAAAGCGATTTGAAGCATTTGGGGGGGGGGGGGCAGAGCTTTGTGACGTCATATTTGACGGGGGGGGTCTGACTTTTTGTGACGCCGTGTGATGACGGGGAGGGAGTCAAAAATCGTCCAAAATCGCGTGACGTCATTTATGGACGGCCCCAGATATACTGCAGATCCACCGTTCCACCGGGTTAATTCATGATGGACAATTTGAGCTTAACTGCAAGCCGCACGCGTTTACAGAGTCATTTCAAACCCGCTCACGTTCATACAAAGCCACAACAATAACAACAACAACCACCGTTCGCCACTATAAGTGGCGGGGACATCACCACGGTGCTTTGTGCCAGTCTAGGTGCACCTTGCGGTCGGGTGGGGTGGGGAAGGCTCGCTGACAGGAGGTCACGGGACAGATCCAGGTGCCATGGGTTACCTGACTGAGATGACTGAATATGCACCACCTCATCACTGTGCCAACGTGATGCGTTTTAGCCGCCCGGCGCTCCGCTCGTTTGTTGTGAACGTCGTTCCTTTTGCTCTCCGTTGTTGCTGGAGGGCGACTGTCTCCAACAGCCCAGTAGCAGCGTCCTTCACGAGCCTCCTACAAAGAGGTCGATCTTGACACCGCTTGTACGAGACGCACGCTCGCGCATACAAAGACAATGTATAATAGTCTACATAGACGGATGGGGCAATTGCTATCAGCGAGTACTTATTAAGGCATGATGTGGGGTGGGGGAACACCACGCCCGGCCACATTTGTCTCCCCAGTGTTGATGTTCACCACATACGCATGTTAAAGTCCGAGGCTCAGAATCGGAGGCTTAGAAGGATCGGTGCAAATATCCCTCGCCACTGACGCCGGCAGTGGTCTGGAATCTAAACAAATAAATTCGTTCTCTGTGGCTCGGACGACCACTGCTCCTCCAACAACAAAGACAAAGCTCTCCCGTATAGCCTTAACAGACTGCTAGGGGAGGGGGGGCAAGTGCTGTTAGCGAGCAAGCACGCACATTCAAAGACCCTAACATATACAGACACACGGACACTTCCCTTTTCATAAAATCTGTCAATGACGACAAAACCCCATCATAGCGGAACTGCGGGTTAGGGTGGAAAGTTTAACACAACACAACAGACACGCGTAACAATATTCCCCTTCTGCCCTTAAGTCTGTATGTTGAACTTCTTTCGCACCGTACGTAGCCAGCCGTGCTAATTGGAGGCGCACACGGACTCACGGTCGGATGTTAGTGCTGTTAGTGAGCACCGATTTAGCTCGACGACAAACTACCGCCAAGTCCTGCCGCTGCTGTCTCATCACTGCTGATGTTGCTCTCATTCAGACGCTGTCGCCTCGACAGACCTGGTTTCACCTGAGGACGGCTGCTTGCGTTGTGGCCGAAACGTCGTGAGAATTATTTTATTTTTATTATTTTATTACTTCCCTTCTACGTGACTTTACCGAAAGAACCAAGAAGATGAATCCCTGCAGTCACGAAAGCTTTAAATCGAAACAGGTACGGTATTTATTATCTTGTTTTCGTCGAAGCCGATCTAGGAGGAGGCACAGGTCAAGTCAACATTTTTTACTTTCCACGTTACCTGATTTATCGACCCTAGAGGAACGATGGGCTGAGTCGACTCGACCCCCCCCCCGCCCCCAATTGGGATTTTAACTTGCAGAGCAATTTTTCGATTTAAAGCTTTCGTGACTGCAGGGAGTCATCTTCTTGGTTCTTACCGAAAGAACCAAGAAGATGCACACCAATTGTTGTTGACCGTGAACTATGCCGGAGCACGTAAGACAATGAAGAGTCCGTTGACTTTCTGCCAGATTTATGTATCCCAGTAACGTTTAAGCAAGGTAACTTTGGACCGGTTTCAATTTCGCTGTGTCTCATCAGCAAGCCGTGGCCTCCATAAACCAATGCCACTGGGCGATCGTTACGTTATGGGCACAAACAGACACAATTGTACACACACATGACCTATTTTCACGGTGTTTATGGTACTTTGCGCTTTTACCCAGGTCTCTCGTGATGATTAGACACAATTAATTCTCACATGGTGATAAATCGAGTTCACAAATCAATAAATGAGTGAATGAAAAGATGGTTCGTCTCAGTGCGTTCTCACTTGGGTTATAGTAGATATGTGAATTAAGGCGTGAACTCGATGGGCTCCCGCATGGTTACGAATAAAGTTCACGAATGGATGAGTTAAAGAGGCAAACTCAATGGGCTCTCACCTGGCTCTAGCGAAAGTGAATGAATGAGTTAAAGAGCTGGTTAGCGGTGGCCAACTGGCGTCTCCAGAGCCGCATGCGGTTTTTTAATCCACCACGTGCGACTCTAACGAAGAACGTACATCATGGGACCTCCTTAAAGGAGATGAAAGGGGAAAACCCCTATTAGTATATTTTGGTACTGGCAAAGGAGGCTCCTTTGCCAGTACCAAAATATACTAATAGGGGTTTTCCCCTTTTATCTGGCAACAAAACTGACACCTTTTGCAAGGAATCATGCTTACATTAACCACAATACTTGCAGTCAAATGCAAACAAAAAACAATACTCTGATAATTATGCATCAGTTTCAAAGACAATGCATAAATTATCAGAGTATTGTTTTTTGTTTGCATTTGACTGCAAGTATTGCGGTTAATGTAAGCATGATTCCTTGCAAAAGGTGTCAGTTTTGTTGCCAGAAAAAAGGGGAAAAACCCTATTAGTAGAACATACTGTCACAGTATCGAATGTCTTCCGCGCTGTCAAAAAAACTGTCTACATATACACAAATATACACTGGGCTCTTTGAAGAACTCTCGGGTACTTTTTGGCCCTTGGTTGGCCCACCCCTGGCTCGGCTGAGGCGTAGGTTCATGATTAGTGCACACGCAGGATGTCAAGCTTGCGGTGAAGAAGAGGCACACACGTGGTCCACTAGCTCGTCTAGACTCTTCAGACTAGCGGAGGCCCTTCGACCAGCAGTGGCGTGAGCTCAGCTAATTGGAGGGCCCCGCCTGTACAAACTCTACGTGCATACTTATACTGCCCTGCCAAAGGTATGCACTGCACAGACACCGCTCCCATAGGAGGCCAACTGACGATCGTTGAGAGGACAAGGCGATAACGAGTCCAGTCACATCGCTGGCGATAAGAAGCCCGACACGCAGTGCCGGCTGCGCAGTCTTTAAGGAAATAATTCACAATTTGTGAAGTGTGCGTGCAAGCCAAGAGAGAGCTGGGTGACTCGGGAGACGAATGCTGTGTCCGTGCCACTGAGACGGCATCGCTGGGACCCTCGGTTACAATTCGGGTTTCGAGCCACCGACGATTAAACGGCATTGTCAAAAAGTAGTGAGATGGATGGTTTTTCAGCCATGCCACCCATGAATGCACTTAAGCTGTATGTTGTTTACATTGGTTGTTACTTGATTCGGCTCATTTGGGCTATTGGGACTGAAAATGATCAGGGCGATTGGCAGGGCACGCCGCTAGAAGGAATGAAGGTCGGTGGGCGAGATTAGCGAGAGGAGGGAACGCACCTTAGAGAGCTTTCGATTAAGCGATGAGATACGCGCGTGTGCAGGTGCTGGGTGGATTGTTATACATCCTGGGACCATGATGCGGGATGGCGACAGCTTTGGGAGGACTATGTTTCCAGCAGTGGATTGATCACGGTTGGGGCACGATGTGGGATAGGCATGCGACAAACAGCGTGTGAGAATGAGCACCGTTCTGCGTGATGTAATCCTCCAGAGGCCGTTCTCTAACACGCGGTGATGTAATAACAATATTCACTGCAAGAATTAATTATCTCATGACCACAACTGTATGGACGGAATATTGAGAGAGGAAAGAAAAATCTTTAAAATATTAAAGTCTGCACCCTCACACTACATTGGCACTACTCTTTGGTACTTTCGGTAAAGTCACGTCGGTGAAAAAAGGAATAAAATAAAAATAAATAAATCTAGTTATTTTTATTTCTTATTTTTATGTATTATTTATTTTATATTTTATTCTTCTATTTTATAACTTTTTTCAACTACGTGACTTTACCCAAAGAACCAAAGAGTATGGATCCTTGCAGTCACGAAAACTTAAAATCTACATTGTCATTAATACGAATTTGTATGCTCTTTGTCAATCCACGGCTAGATGAAGGGAACAACCCCATGTTCGTGTCAGCCATGGAGGTTTTTAAAGAACACTTCACCACACTGGTCAGTGCGGCTTGTTGAGAGCAAGGGGCCAGGGACCGTGCAAGAAATATGTAGTCACGAAGGTCCTTAACATTAATATTATATATCCCTCATTAGTATATATATTTTCGACCTCAGCAAATGCATCCAGAAATAGAATCGACACACGTCGACCACAATGCACTGCTCCTGTCATTGACGTCATTGTGGATGAGAGCACATTGAGATACTCCTTTATGCAACAGACATCGAACAAAGAAGTAACCAACGTGCAGCTAGTAGTATTATTATTGTGGTTATTACTGAGTTTAGTTGTGGGTACATTTTTAGCAATTCGAACTGGGCTATGACATCAAGTAACACGCAATGGACAACACAGTTGTAACGTTCGAGTTGATGTGCGATGGTAAACAGATAAAAAGCTACAAAGCTGTTTGGCTACAAAGCTGTTTACTCTTTCTTAAACCTGCGTCTCCTCGTCCTCAATAATTAACAAGTGAGCCATCAGAATCCTAATCGTGCATTACATTTGGCTGTACGAGATGCGGACATGAACACCAAACCCCTGAATGAACCCCAACAATGGCCATGACCAGTGGGTTTGTACATGAACACCGAGCACTGAGAATCCCAAGTTGATGCCTTAGTCTGGCTCCTAAAGAGCATTTTGGAATTAACATCTCGCAACATAATTATGCCTTAATCTCGCTCTGAACCTCAAGACATTAACAATGAACCATAACGTGATATCAGAAACCGATGAGCTTCGTAGATGATCAGATTCCTCAAATATGAATGAAGATTCTGAATTCTGTGCATTTAAGACCCTCTAGGAGCCTCATCTGTTCACAACAAACCCAACGGATGCACAAGTCCGTGGTGTTTGTACATCCGGGTGTCTTCCTGTGTTCTGCTCAGGCATTATCAGTCCAATGTGCATGTTTCTTGCTTTCGCAACAACCCACGCGGATATGTTGTTTTCAATGTTAAACTTTTAAAACCATGAAAGTGAACTGCCGATAAAATATTTGAGGAAGACCAGTTGTGAAGAAGGAACTTGTACTGTACTTTGTTGACTAATTCAGCAAAATAGTATACTAAACAAAAATGCATATTTCATGGAAGGGCACAATGCTGATGGTTGATGGCACCTTCTGGGCCGTCTTGCTACCGCAAGTGCGTAGGCAGGAAAGCGGCAGTGTGAACATCGGCTCAAGCGTGTGCGACCTACAGCTCAAGCAAAAAAAAAAACACAGATCCTACGTGTACCCTGAACAGACTGTTGGGGCAATGCTGTTAGCGAGCACCTATGAAGGTCGGCACAGAACACAAGGAGGTTGTCGGCAAGCACCACGCCCGGCCGCCTTTGTCTCCCTAGTGGCGATGATTACACACCGCACCAAGTACTTATTTGAGGCTGAGTCGACCTAGGGGAGGCCGAGGACCGGTTCAGATAATCGTCAATGGTGGTGGCTGTGAGCGGGAATCGAACCCGGGTCACCGGGTCACCGGGTTCGTAGCGCAGTGCACTAAAATTACATCCCCTGGTCCCCACGCGAAACGACACGCATCTTTCAATAAATGTGAAAGGTGGTATTATAGTAAATAACTAATTTACAGCGACTTGTCATTCCACTGCTAGAAGAAGGCCGTGCCAGTGTAGGTTATATCCATGTACTCTTGTTTCTTCCGACATACAAAAATGCTCAAGGAATTGGATAAATATTCTAATGCAGGACTCTCCATAAAAATTGACAATTTAGACTAAGTCAGACTCAGATGGAACACGTTCCTTAGGAGTGGGCAGGTAGGAACTTGGTTGGACAGCGCATTCGTGCGATCCGTGTCACGCGGCGCAAGCTGCGTGACATGAAACAAAATTTTGTCGGTGGGCTTGGAGATTTGACACCAAGCTATGTGACCACAAATAAAAAAAAATCCAGTTTCCACCAGAGATAAAGCCAAGTGTAAAGAGTGGGCAGCGCTTTTTGTGTTTGGTTTGTTGTTCTTCCTCCGCACCCCCGATTAAAACAGTTGGCTAATTACAGTGGGAAGGAAGTTTAACAGGGCAACCGTCAGTCACGGATGGAAGCGTCACACTCCTCATTGTCATCCGTGAATTTGTTGCAAGGTGACGATGCCAATCCAACATGTGAGCCCATCATCAACAAACTATGAGACAATACTAGACCAGAAACTTTAACTGCAACGTGGAAACTGGCCAGCTTTCAGGCACTGTACTTAACAGCAGTCTCAGTGGATTCGTATGGAGCAAAAGAAAAACGCTTTCAGGTGTAATCTTTTTATGAGTGACGTTGTTGAATGTAGGTGTGGGTCACTCATTATAATTGCAATCTCAAGGTCGGGAGTTCAATTTCTAATGGGATTGGAGGGAGCCGAGTGCATCACCTCTCTGGTTGATCAAATGAATTCCACTTCGTGAGAAGTCAACATTAGTTGTCCTAAAAGAGACTTGCCCTAGCCACAGAAAGGTGGAATCTTCACTACTGGCATATAGCAAGTAATTTGGAATGAGCACTGCTCAATGCTCGCCGTGTGTGTATTGAACACCGCAGGCACCATTTGAAACCAAAAGCTATTAATACAAAATGAATTACACAAACCAGCGAGTATATTGATTAAAAGCGAGAGGTTTATTTGACCAAAGCGAAGTGTACCGTTGCAAGTTGCTAATGTTGCCTAGTCAAGCACTACGTATACGTCACTCTGATAAATATAGGATTCCAATAAGGGCTACATTATGAGCGTTATCTGTGGGCATTGTTTACCTCCGCAATATAACGAAGGCCAAGCTGGAAGACTTTGGCCTAGCTTTCGTTCTCTTGGAGCCTTTACTGCCACTACCCTGTAACGATGGACTCTTGCTCTGGTTCGTCTGTAAACAGATACCGTGAATATTTGCACAGAAACCGGTGTGTATTGCGTGCGGTTAATTAAAAGCGTGGCGCGATAAAATTAAGCTACGCAAGAACAGCACCCACCAAAAGCAATATGATTTCGGTCAATATTATCCGAACCTTATTAGTGTTTGCGGGACGAAACGTAAAACTACGCGAAACAGTGCGTCAATGCTCGCTTTAATTTGTAAATTTGCATCGCAGTTATGAGCGACATTTCCAAAATACGAAGCGCTGTTCTGTTGAAACACGTGGTACTTATGTCCCCTTATGTCAAAAGGAAATCTCAGTCTCAGTACTCATCAGGAGGGTGATGGGGTAAGACTCAAAACGTCATGAGTTGATGAACCCACTCGCTGCATTGGCGTCTTCCTGGCCACCTAGTAGCTCAAACGATCCAGTAGAATCAAAGCATATAATAATTTCTGAATAATCCACCATCACCTGGATTTTAAAGGCAGAATTACATGTGTATGCCCATAATCCATATGCTGCAATAGAATATTTTTCTTTAGGAAGCTGATATAAAATCAAACGAGTCTCAAAAACAAATTCACGTACATTTCTCATGAGTGATGTTTATTCCGGGAATGGACATTTAATTTTCCATTTACTATGATGAAACGTTTCCATAAATCGGAGACACCAAGGCTAAACGACGTTGGAAAAACAAACAGAAAAGCTAATTATAATCCAAACACTCAAAAACAAAGCCAATGAAATGCAATGTTTCTTTGCACAATCTTAATCACTATCCGAGCCCTCTTTGGCACGAATGTTGGCAATCTTCCTCTTTTTGCTCGTGAGGAACGCAGATGGTGCCAACCCGCTTCCCGTTCCACTTGCTTTTTTGGGTTTCTTTCCACTGTCCTCTGCATCTTCCTCTTCTGCCATGTGGCTTTCCATATCGCCCAAATGCTGCAGAGTAATTCCTCTCCCTGGAAACTCGTCCACGCCCAGCGATCCCGCACTGTGCCCCTTTGGCTCCCACGTGCCTCCTCCATCCCCTGCATTGGCTGCTTCAATTGAGCCCTTCTGATGCTCCGCTGGCTCCTGCTCCCTCATTGGCTTAGAGAACCTGATCCTCTTGGAAGCATCACCTGTGAGCGGTTGATTAAACGCGATCTCTCCATCACCGTCGTCGGTCATTCCTGACCCTGACCCGTGACCCCTTGCTGTGCGCGTTTCTCCCGTGCATCTCGCTCAGAAAAGCGTGCGCTACCGAGGCGTTGGACACGTTGGTGCCGTCGTCCTCCACATCCTCTAGCGAGTAGCGCGTCCAGCGTGATGGGTTGACCTGGAAGTCCGGCGTGGCACCAGGCGCTGGTGGAGGGAGGCTGTTGAAGCTGTCGAGCGGCGTGCGTGGCTCGCGGCCCGCGGTCTCGTTGGACGCCACCCAGCTCCGCTTGCCTCGACCACTCCTCGGTGGCCGAGCAGCCGGCGGTGGTCGCTTGAACTCGCCATCGAGCAGGTTGTCGTTGGACAGAGAGGGGAGAGAGGTTTTGGCCGCAGTCTCCAGACTGTCAAAAATTCCACGGGTGCGGGAGCTGAAGGCAAGCGAAGTGCCCATCAGCATAAACGGGACGTTGGGCTTTGATGGGATCTCGACCGGAGCATCCTCCACGTCACTGTCACTGCTAGATTCGGAGTCCAGTTGGGGAGGATTTGCAGCCATTTTAAAATGCGTACAAATCTACTCGTCCTCGTCGACAGGCAGCTGGAAGAGGGCTTTCCAGATGTGACCTGACGCTTTAGCCTGAAATGAAACCAACCATTTGTCTGTTATTCATCCAGGAAATCCTTACTCATGTTAATGACTCTTATTCATGAGGGCACTTTATAACCCACATGGTGTGGACAGGCCCGCATCGATCAATTGACAAATGTACTTCATTAGCATGTTTAACCAATTCCTTTATGCACTGAGTTTTTGCTCGTGCGAGGAAACAAGAGTACGCAGAACAATCCCATACGAGGGGATAACACAATGAAAGGTCTGCAGAGATGGGTATCAAGAATTACTTCTTGTACTGTCATCTGGCCACCCCACAGCATACAGTCTAAGTGTTCAAATCAACTTTTGCCTAAAAAACATTGGGATTACAGCTGTGAAACCACCCCAGGTTCCACAAATAAATGAAAAACCCTCCTTCTTACCTAAATGAAATATATATCGATGACTTTTTATTTTTTACTTACAAATGCCACTACTTATATGTTGGTTGTTCAGGGGTGTGCATTTATTAATGCATATGTGACAGAAAATATATGCAGGCTCGCGTTGGGTTGTGGCAGGCAATATAAGATGCTGTGAAAATGAACTTGGTTCCTTTGAATCTTTGCAATACCACAAATGAACACCACAAACGGAAGCCTAAACGCTGCACTTTCAGATACCATCATTGAACCTCTGGTCAATAATGTTAGATACTGGTGAAATTATACTGTGGTTAGATAGCTAGAGCCCCATTTCAGAATGTTGCACGTTCAATTCCTGTTTGAGACTGGCTTAGGCCCAGCTATAAGAATGTGGAATTTCCACAGTTGGTTCAGGGCCAACAGGGGTGATGAGGAGCACAAGTGAATGTTCATCCGAGGCATGGAGAAAACGTGTTATAATTCCTGTCAATGCACACAAGTGGGGAGGCCCTCATCCAGTATCAGATAATTCTCGGTTGGTGACGATGAAATCCAACCGCACCTCCATACCCCAGAAGAGTATTTTTTGTGGTGCAGAGAATAAAGTGCACAATACACGAGGCAACAGGGAAAAGGGACAATGTATAGGTGTGAATAAAGAGAACTGGAAGGCCTTTAGCCTTGACTTAGGGTGTTAGCAGCTTGGATGGGCAGTGGAAGAGAATTCAAGATAGCAGAGGAGTGTCCTCACATCAAGTGGATGTTAGTGGAGAGTTTTGGAAGCCCTTTTTTAAAATAACCAATCTTCTTTTACATTCCTGCAGTTTTCAATCGCGTAGTGCCCTCTATGGGTGATCACGCAATGCCTCAACAGAGGAGGTAAGCTGGGCTTTTATAACTCCATTGGTTTTGATCGACCATGGTAGTGTTTGCCAATGTCCCTCTGTTAAAATACAAATTAAGTCATTACATGTCCCTGATGCGACGAAAGAAAAACGTCAAAGGCCATTGGAATGTTGTTGTAGACCATAATGTAACTTTATTTTCACAGTGTTGCACCCTATGTTAGACAGAGAAGCCGGTCAACAACAACTGTTGTTATCAACAGGACAGCTTTATGCGTCAACTCCTGGGTACAAACGGTGAGGTGTCGCTCACCTGTCCAAGGGTCTTTACGAACTCTCCATCCGGGTTCGTGAAGGCGACCAGCGTCTCTAACTCCGACACCCTGCCAAGCGTAAGGGGAGAGAATTATAATCAGTTATACTGCAAGGAAACCAATGTCACGTGTTGGCAAAGTAATGTGACAAAATGTGTACGTACATATGCAAGTACAGCCTTTTATTTTTAATTCACAGCGAGATGTGGGGCCTTTCCACGGTGTGTAAGACATCTGACCACACTGGTCAGTGCTGATTGAAGGTGGGAGCGCATACACCACATGGGAGCATGGAAGTACGGTATAACAACACCAATGTATGTTTCTGCACCCACAACGTAGCTCCGCATGTTGATCGTGGGACGTACGACTCGGGCATACCATGAAGTAGCCCAGGAAACATTACAAATATAGGTAGGCGGTGTGTGCGAATCAGGTGGCTCATTCATTGTGTCATTAATAAAAATCCGTACAATACACACTTGTAATGTACGGAGGCATCTTAACGCAGCTTTAACAACCCCACGTGGCCTTAGCGGTTTAATCCCCCACGAATATCTAGAGCAGTGGTTGAGCTATCAGTGTCATTATGAAACTTAAATCTTGCACATCAGTCCGGTCTATTAAAACAAGGGGCTCTTAGGGAGCTGGAATAATGAATGTTTATAGTTTAAGGGTTCTGAAAGGCAGATTCCAAGAACACAGGATGAGATGTTACTATCCTTTGTGCAAGCACTTCCAAGAGTTCATGAACAGTGAGCCTGGTGAAATTTGGGGAGCGCATCGTCATTAGTGTACCTTTGGTTCTTAGGGTGTTTCGGCCTTTCATACTATACACCCTCCCCAAAGGCAGAATAAGTTACATTTATGTTTCTCAGGGTTGTTTTAACAATTGAGGATCGCATAACCAGGCCAAGGAACCCTGACGATTCTTATGTTAAAGCCCACGGCTCGGAGACAGATTAAATAACTTTTATTCTTCCACACCCTTAAAATTACTACTTTTTGTAGAACCAAACAAACTCAGTTTTATAATTCCCAAGCTAAATCGCAAATAACCAAATTTATTCGCGCCAGAATGGGATAACCATTTGGTTATCACTCTTCCCGTGTTAATTCACACAGCTCAGTGGGTATATGTAAGACTTCTTAGCGGCGGGGAAGGGGTGGGATCAGCGTTAATTCCCAATTCGAGACTTGAAACATTTTTGTTTCTCTAAATTAAATCTTCAGCGAGTCGCCGTCGACGTTGGAGCCACGTGCTCAGGCGATGCGCCTCGTCGAAAACAAACCAAACGCAACCACCACCACCCCCCTCCCGGTTTCTTTCTCCGAGTGATCATTGCAAGCGAAGAGAAACCCCCCCCCCCCCCAGCACACAACAACCACAACAACAGCAACAACAACACCACAGCGCTGGAGGCCCGCGGTGGCACTCACAGCGCCTTGGACGCGTCCAGGACGCGACCGAGTTCGGCGAGCGCGGCGGCGGCGGCGGGGCCTGGGCGGCTGCTACCGGGCGGGGAGGGAGAGCCGCGTGTCGGCGCAGAGGAGCCCGCAGAGTCAGGCGCCGTGGTGGTCGACTCCTCCACGGCCGCCTCCATCGCCGCCCGGAGATTGTTGGAGGTGAGAATGGTGAGCGCCGTGGGTGGGTGGGTGGTTGGGTGGGTGGTTGGGCCCCGCGCGCGCGCGCGTCCGCTGTGGGAAATGTGAATGCGAGTTGGGGGGTGGTGGGTGGGGGGGGGTCGATAAAGCGCGGGAAGAGAGAGAGGGAGAGAGGCGAGCGTGGTGAAGGTGTCGCCATCTTGGTAAGGGGGGACAAGATGGGGGGAGGTAGGGGGGTGGGAATTGAGGGTGGGGGGGGAATTGGAGGGTGGGGGGGGGAATTGGAGGGGGGGGGGGATTGGACTATTGGAGGGATTGGAAGGGTGGGGATTGGGGTATGAGGGATTGGGGAGGGGATTGGAGGTGGGGGGGGATTGGAGGGTGGGGGGGGGGGATTGGAGGGTGGGGGGGGGTGGGGATTGGAGGGTGGGGGGGGGGGGATGGAGGGTGGGGGGGGGGGGGAATGGAGGGTGGGTGGGGGGGGATTGGAGGGTGGGGAGGGGGGGATTGGAGGGTGGGGAGTGATTGGAGGGGTGGGGGGGGATTGGAGGTGTGGGGGGGGGATTGGAGGGTGGGGGGGGGGGATTGGAGGGTGGGGGGATTGGAGGGTGGGGGGGGATTGGAGGGTGGGGGGGGGGGATTGGAGGGTGGGGGGGGGGGGGGATGGAGGGTGGGGGGGGGGGGGGATTGGAGGGTGGGGGGGGGGGGGATTGGAGGGTGGGGGGGGGGGATTGGAGGGTGGGGGGGGGGGGGATGGAGGGTGGGGGGGGGGGATTGGAGGGTGGGGGGGGGGGGGATGGGAGGGTGGGGGGGGGGGGATTGGAGGGTGGGGGGGGGGATTGGAGGGTGGGGGGGGGATTGGAGGGTGGGGGGGGGGGGATGGAGGGTGGGGGGGGGGGATTGGAGGGTGGGGGGGGGGGGGATGGAGGGTGGGGGGGTTGGAGGGTGGGGGGATTGGAGGGTGGGGGGGGGGGATTGGAGGGTGGGGGGGGGGGATTGGAGGGTGGGGGGGGGGAGGGATTGGGGGTGGGGGGGGGGGGGGGGGGAATTGGAGGGTGGGGGGGGGGGGATTGGAGGGTGGGGGGGGGGGGATTGGAGGGTGGGGGGGGGGATTGGAGGGTGGGGGGGGATTGGAGGGTGGGGGGGGGGATTGGAGGTGGGGGGGGGGGATTGGAGGGTGGGGGGGGGATTGGAGGGTGGGGGGGGGATGGAGGGTGGGGGGGGGGATTGGAGGGTGGGTGGGGGGGGGATTGGAGGGTGGGGGGGGGGGGATTGGAGGGTGGGGGGGGGGGATTGGAGGGGGTGGGATTGGACTATTGGAGGGATTGGAAGGGGGGGGGGGGGGTGGCTTGGGGATTGGAGGGTTGGGGGGGGGGGATTGGAGGGGGTGGGGGGGGATTGGAGGGTGGGGGGGGGGGGGATTGGAGGGGTGGGGGGGGGGATGGAGGGTGGGGGGGGGGATTGGAGGGTGGGGGGGGGGATTGGAGGGTGGGGGGGGGGGATTGGAGGGTGGGGGGGGGGATGGATTGGGAGGTGGGGGGGGGGGGGGTGGGGGGGGGGGGGATTGGAGGGTGGGGGGGGGGATTGGAGGGGGGGGGATTGGAGGGTGGGGGGGGGATTGGAGGGTGGGGGGGGGGGATTGGAGGGTGGGGGGGGGGGATTGGAGGGTTGGGGGGGTGGGGTGGGGGGGATTGGAGGGGGGGGATTGACTATTGAGGATTGGAAGGGGGGGGGGATTGGGGGGATTGGAGGGTGGGGGGGGATGGAGGGTGGGGGGGGATTGGAGGGTGGGGGGGGGATTGGAGGGTGGGGGGGGATTGGAGGGTGGGGGGGGGATTGGAGGGTGGGGGGGGGATGGAGGGTGGGGGGGGGATTGGAGGGTGGGGGGGGGTTGGTGGGGGGGGGTTGGAAGGGTGGGGGGGGGGGGTTGGAGGGTGGGGGGTTGGAGGGTGGGGGGGGGGGGGGTTGGAGGGTGGGGGGGGGTTGGAGGGTGGGGGGGGTTGGAGGGTGGGGGGGAGGTTGGAGGGTGAGGGGGGATATTAAAGGGGGGGGGATTAAAGGGGGGGGATTGGAGGGGGGGGAAATTGGAGGGGTGGGGGGGGATTGGAGGGGTGGGGATTGGAGGCGTGGGGGGGGATTGGAGGGGTGGGGGGGGGTGATTGGGTGATTGGTGGGGTGGGGATTGGAGGGGTGGGGGGATTGGAGGGGTTGGGGGGGGTGATTGGGTGATTGGAGGGGTGGGGGGGGGATTGGAGGGGTGGGGGTGGATTGGAGGGGTGGGGGGGAAATTAGTGGGGAAATCCGTCACGTGTTCTTGGTGACGTCACAACGCATCACAATACGCACGCCTCCCCTACGTAAGATGGCCGTTAAATGTCGATTGCTTTGCGACGTCGTGACGACCACGCGTCTGTTATAGTCACTAACATGGACAGTCCTGTGGAGTCTAGTGAAGAGCTTAGCCAGTCTGATTGAAAAGGAAGCCTTCGTTAAAGGGTGCGGGTAAAGATGTGTTTGTGTGTTTTTATTTCGTTGTGTGTTTGTTGTTAAAAAGGCCGCAGTCGATGTGTCCACGATTTCCGGCGTGTAAAGCCCCCACGGGTCACTAAACCCCTTTGCTTATCTTAGCGCTGTTAGAATGTCTATGAATTCTACCGTACGCACGTAAATCGACGCTATTATTGCCTTCTTTTAATTGTGCATCTCTTGTCAATCCACTGCTGTGTCGATTGTTACAACTTTAGTAGTTTAAACCCATACAGCGCCGAATACAAACGCCTGTATATTCATTAAAAATGTTTTAAGTTTACCGTTCATAATGTATTTAATATCCCTCGAGAACATTGATTCATCATTGCCGTATGAGAGCCGTGACTTTATAACGCGGTGGTGGCGGGGAGTGTGGTAACGCTTTAATTAATAATTTCAAAATAATTGATTAAAAAAACCCTTATCATCATCTTATTCCCGGTACAGTATTGACAACAGGATGAATCTGCCACTTCAGAGATACTTTTACCAACGAAAACGCGGATTTTGAATTGTTTACGCTTCCAGGAGACACCGGCTAATTTCGAGGGTAAATGTGGGGTAATGATGGTAATGATTGGCATTTCCCGCCACTTATAGAGATCACTTCTGTGATCTGCAAAACACGGATCATTTAGGGAGACTTAGTTTACGGATAATGGGATTTCCCCGGAGCGAATGGGCTCCTGAGTAAAATCGGAGTCAAGGATGATAGGAGCACGTGCTGCTTGGGAGCTGATGGCTGTGATGGTATTTACCGTGTTCATCATGAGAGTTACTCATGAAATCGCACCTCTCTGTCATCCCGTGTTACACATATCGTGGTGCCAGAACAAAGCAGTATCGCAAAGGAGGTCTAATGATGTAGAAGATGCTCACCCCGAGCCCTCATTACTTTGATGGTGCATTGTCTTTGAGCTTTGGACGCCTTTTGGCGTCCTCTGGTAGATCACCAATCGGGTCGAGGCTCAAAAGAAAGCCGTCCCTTGGTGTGGACCAATCAGTTTCAAGGACAATGCATCTATTATCATAGTATGTTTTTGTTTGCATTTTGACTGCAAGTATTGTGGTTAATGCACACATGAATCCTTCTAAAAAGGTTTCAGTTTTGTTGCCAGAAAAAAGGGGGAACCCCCTATTATTAAAGCAGTACCATATTTGAGATGCAGGGTGTTTGCAAAAGATGGACCCGATTTAAAATCACTATCTCTGAAATTGGGTCCATCTTTTTGAAACACCCTGAAAAAATCACCTAGCAAGCAGCCGCGATTGCAGACCAAATACAATGTTCAAAAACAATACGGTATCGACAACATACACAGCAGACGAGTATTCAAAGATTTAAGAGAGGAAAAAAAAAACCATAACGTGTGCTTAATGATCTCTTGATTTCTTTTATGGCAGGAGAGTGTGGCTAAAAGTAAGGGCACTCCAAAGTGTTGGCCACCCACAGGACAATGGGGCGCTCTTCGAAGGACAAGCGAGACATCTATTACCGTCTAGCCAAGGAGGAGGGCTGGCGTGCTCGCAGTGCGTTCAAGCTCCTGCAGCTGGACGAGGAATTTAATCTGTTCCAAGGTGATGACAAAATACAAATAGGTTTGACCCCTTTCTGGCAATACAAGAGATGTCAAGATCTTGATTTGAAGCTTTCGTGACTGCAGCAATCCATACTCTTTGGTTCTTTCGGTGACGGTTCCACCTGAAGACGGAAGCTTGTGTTGCCTCCGAAACGTCGTGATTTTTATTTTTATTTTACTTTTATTAATTTTAATTTTTTACCTACGTGACTTTACCGAAAAAACCTAAGAATAAAAATAATATCAATCACGACGTTTCGGGCGCAACACAAGCGTCCGTCATCTGGTGGGAAAGCATGGTCTGCTGCCGAGGCAGACTGTTTTAAAACCTTTTTAATGTCAAGATGTTCAAACACCTAACGGGTACCTTTTACAAGGCATAAAGTCTGCATTAACCACACATACCTGTAGCAAAACATGCAAACAGACATACACTGATAATTTATGTGCGTTGCCCTTAAAACTGATTGACCTACGCCAGAGACAGCCTTCTTTATGGCCTTGTCTCACCATTGTTAGACCAGAGAACGCCAAAAGGCCAACAGTACAAAGACAATGGAAGTCCCAGGGGACGTTTGTTACATCGGCCATAACATGTTGAATATTGAAGCAAAAGTAGGTTGGTCTGTGTGTGTGATACCAGATTTGTGCTCGCTAACAGCACTTTCCCCAACAGTCTGTTAGGGCTATACCAGGGGATCTTTTTATTTGTCCAGATTTTAATAACTTTATTGACGCCAGGCACAAGTTAGGTGTACGTCTGACATTTAGGAGCATCTTATAATCACGAGAATGTGATAATTGATTTATGAATTACAATATTGTTTTGACCACAAACATCTATGATTTACTTACAAAAAAACAGCGTTAGAATAAGTTTATTGCGGAACATGGCCCTGATGTTTCTATGATTTTGAAAATAACTTATTCCCCACCCTGTGGTGCATATGCAAATTATATGGTAAAGAATATAGGGAATCATGGAACTATAAATGTAGGTATGTTAAACCTCTTTCGCACTGTACGTAGCCAACTGGAGTAATCTGGGTTGTACATGTACGGCGTGTATTCGTGTGTGCGCATCGGATCGCAGGAGTAAGCCACGCCGTGGATCTATGTGCAGCACCAGGAAGCTGGAGCCAGGTCTTGAGCCGGAAACTGCGGTCAGTACTAGTTTTAAGTATTTACAAAAACAATAACAGACAAACATCCTTTCATCATTATCACCCATCACCATCTTCAGCCAATGTATAACCAATGCTGATTGAAGGCTTCTACATGCTCTCACCAGGCAAGATGGTCCTGCAATGCCATTGCGCATTTTTACTCCTGCACATGAACTGACCTCATCGCTCTCATTCTGGAGGGTCCTGTTATTAGCATGACCTCTCATTGAATGGCATGTAAGTCAAAGTGTTTCCCTGTTCAAACGAGCAAGCTGGGTAGGACTAATTTTTATCAGCGACCCTGAATTAGTGATAGAAATTACATATTCCCTTAGGTGGGAGACAGTCTATCCATGTGTAATGCGGGCGTGGGCGACCTCCCGGATGTGACGTCACGGAGAGGTGGAGTTAGGTGACGTGGGAGCAAGGTTAAGGTTCTTAAGGGATGAGACCGGAAGAGGAGGGGAGAGAGTGAGAGACAGGACAAGAGTAAGGCCACGTTGGGCGAAGCCAGGAAGAGTGGCACCGGCGGCCAGCGGTGGCCCGCTAAGGGAGCAGCCAGCGGAGCTGCGAGAGAAGACAGCAGAGTGGCTGCTGGAGAGAGGGTGGTTGAGGAGCTGCGGTGAACACAGCCGGCGAGGCTGTGTGTGAGAGGCTACGAGAGCGACGAGAAGAGAAACAGCAGCGAGTGCAGCCAGTGGGGGCTGCGTGAGGGTGACAGCCGGCGAGGCTGCTGGAAGGTTACGAGAACAACGGGAAACAGGAAGAGGAGCTGTTGGCGTGACGGGGTTAACAGCAGTATCTGTATCGGTGCAGAAGGCTTATAGAAGGACAGCCGTGTGGGTTGCGAGGAAGAACCGAATAAAGGACACCAAGCCAGACTTCGTGGTCGAGTCCTTTATTACACATGGATCCTGCCGGGGTGGTGGAGGAGAGCCCTGCTGAAACGAGTGCGGGGACTGGGGTTGAAGATGTAGCCGTAGTGTCGGGGCCGCCGACAACATCAGACGCTGATCCGCGATGGCTGCAGGTGGCGGAGCAACTGGAGATTCTCAGGGACGTCCTGGGCCAATTGTGTCATCTTGTCACCCCAAGGACGGCGACGGAGAGGGCGGAGAGTGCTCCACAGGCCGCCACGGTATCTTCGCTCCCGGCGCCATTGGCCACGCTGCAGGAGGCCGCCATCTTGCGCGTTCCGCGGCGGGAAACCGCCATCTTGACCACGCCGCGGTTCGACGCCATTTTGAATTTGCCACCGGAGGAGCCATCGGCGGAGGGCGGAGTAAAGAGAAGTCGGAGTCGCCATCTCACCACGGTCAAAGAGTTCGCCATTGGGGGCGACTGGAGCGCTTTCACCTGCAGATTTTTGGCGGCGGTCCGTTCTGCGAGATGGACCGATGCTGAGGCCTTAGAAGTGTTGCCGACTCTTCTGGACGACGAATCTGTTCGATTTTTTCGTTCCATTAAGGCCGAAAAGAAGAAGACATTATATGGAGTTTTTCAAGAAATGGCCGACGCCTACGAGCCACCTGACGACGCGCATCGGCGATTTGCTCAACGACAACGAGCGCCCGAGGAATCGCCCGTGGCATACAGGGGTGCGGTGCTTGATTTGGCTATGGCCGCGTATCCAGAAACAACACCTGACCTGCTCGAGCCTCTCATCTTGGGCAAGATGCTCGAGCTGTCGCGGGATCTTGGGATTCCCATGCCGGTGTGTGGGCATGAGAAGCTCACTTCCCGGGCAGCGGCAAAATGTCTGGATGCACAATTCAACCTCCGACGGTGGAAACAAGTCGCGGCGTGGACAGGGGGGCCCGTCGCAGAGGGTGGCGCTCTGGGTTGGGACCCTACGAAGGCGGTATACGTGCCGGATGGGGAGGGCCCTCAGGAGCTGACGGCCGCCTCTGGGCCATGGTCAGGCCGCGGTGGGCCGGCCTCTCGCGCTGCACCACTGGTACGGGGCCGGCGGGATGCAAGGCCTGCGCTTCGGCGCAACGACGCCGATTGTTTCCGCTGTGGACGGAGGGGCCACTACGCGAAGGACTGCTGGGCCCGCATCCCGGGTCCGCCGCAACAGGAGGCCTCATCAACGGCCAAGCCGACCAAGGAACCACCGAACCAGGCCGGCCTTGACACCAGAGGGGACGAGGCGCCCTGCTCGGAGGGTGCCTGCCAGATCTGCGGGAACTTCGAGCCCTGCAGCCCTTCCGACCCCGCTGCAGACACATCCGCGGGACACGCCCGAGACTGATCCTTCAGGGACACGGGACGTTGGTGGACTTCCAACAGCGACAGGGGGATTTCACCCTGTCACTCCTCAAACTCCATCACGTTCCCGTTCCGCGGATGGGCCGCCGACCGTCCGGGGCGGGCCGGCGACCCGCACACGTTCTAAATCCCTTGTGTTTCGTTGATTGTTACGTTGCGTTATTGCTCTTACTGTGTATTTATTGCCTGCTTCTGCTACGTTACTTGATTGTTGAGTTGTGTTGATTGTTCTTACTGTTATATTGCATGCTTGGTGTCCTTTGGTGTGTTAGGGTCGGTTTCGCCCGCATTACTGTTGGTGTTGTTCAGCCGAGGTCGGCTGGGTTTTTCTCCACGGGGGAGGGTGGTGTAATGCGGGCGCGGGCGACCTCCCGGATGTGACGTCACGGAGAGGTGGAGTTAGGTGACGTGGGAGCAAGGTTAAGGTTCTTAAGGGATGAGTCCGGAAGAGGAGGGGAGAGAGTGAGAGACAGGACAAGAGTAAGGCCACGTTGGGCGAAGCCAGGAAGAGTGGCACCGGCGGCCAGCGGTGGCCCGCTAAGGGAGCAGCCAGCGGAGCTGCGAGAGAAGACAGCAGAGTGGCTGCTGGAGAGAGGGTGGTTGAGGAGCTGCGGTGAACACAGCCGGCGAGGCTGTGTGTGAGAGGCTACGAGAGCGACGAGAAGAGAAACAGCAGCGAGTGCAGCCAGTGGGGGCTGCGTGAGGGTGACAGCCGGCGAGGCTGCTGGAAGGTTACGAGAACAACGGGAAACAGGAAGAGGAGCTGTTGGCGTGACGGGGTTAACAGCAGTATCTGTATCGGTGCAGAAGGCTTATAGAAGGACAGCCGTGTGGGTTGCGAGGAAGAACCGAATAAAGGACACCAAGCCAGACTTCGTGGTCGAGTCCTTTATTACACATGTAATAAAAACATCTCAACATCTACAACACTGCCTTATAAGGAACAGGATATAAAAGGTGATGTTTCGGGCAATGGCCCCTCATAGAACGTGATCAAATAATGTATCCATGGATTGACCACTTCATATTCCACATGACTATTCATTTTATCAACACTCCAGCTGAGCCAATGCCCAACAGAGGTCTGAAATAATCTTTGCTCTGCAGTGGAATAACCACTGTGGGTAACCACGCCTGGATGTGATTAATAGCCTGCAAAGATGGGTTCGTGAACTAAATTGCTGCACTGCCATCTTCTGGCCACCTGCCAGCTTTGTGAGTTTAGGAGTTTCACCAACCCTCACCTCGAAAGCTCTCCATTACAGGTGAATGCCACCACACCCAGCAAATGATGGAAAACATAAATTATGCATGCCTAAGTTGTCATTCTTGATTTCACAGTGGGGAAGATGGGAAGAAGTCCGATGCCAAAATAGTCGCTGTGGATCTGCAGGCCATGGCACCCCTGCCTGGTGTCATTCAACTGCAGGGAGACATAACTAAGGTGAGCAGACAGCCAGGTTAAGTGAATGGTATGTGTAAAAATTAATATTTCACTTTAAGTGGAAATTCATGGAAATGTTTGCATCATGACCAAATGACACAGTTTAGCCGAAAACATAGCAACGTAAAAATGGAAAGGTACAAAAGACACAGTCCCTACAGTACAAATTAGATCGTACAAATGAGTAACAGTAAAACATGAAATGGTAAAAGTGTCTCCTTAAATTTCGATTTAAAGCTTTCGTGACGGCAGGGATTCATCTTCTTGGTTCTTTCGGTAAAGTCACGTAGAATGGAAATATTAAAATAATAAAAAGTAAACATAATAAAAATAATTCTCACGACGTTTCGGCCACAACGCAAGCAGCCGTCCTCAGGTGAAGAACAGGTCTGTCGAGAAGACAGAGTCTGAATGACACACCCCAAGCTTGGAGCGTCTATTTAAACTGGGTTGGAGGGGGGGGGAGTGCCTTGACAAAATAATTTGCAAGGCGCCTTGACAAAAGAATTTGCAAGGCGCTCTCCCCCCCACCAACCCAGCTTAAATAGACGCTCCAAGCCTGGGGTGTGTCATTCAGACACTGTCTTCTCGACAGACCTGTTCTTCACCTGAGGACGGCTGCTTGCGTTGTGGCCGAAACGTCGTGAGAATTATTTTATAATGTTTTAATTTTATTATTTCCATTCTACGTGACTTTACCGAAAGAACCAAGAAGTGTCTCCTTACTCAAATTATAATGTGAATGGGCTCATCTCTGCTGGCAGCTGAGCCAGCGTTGGAAATGCCATATTCATACGTCAGAGGCAGGTTTAATCACGCCAAAACTACTTGACACAAATCAATACACATTTAACCACTGGCTTTGTAGGTGGGCTAGAGAGACCATGTCTATAATGACTGTGTGCATGTTTCATTCGTTCTAGGTTATTTTATCGTCTGTGACCAAAATGTATTTTGTTGATAGGTCTCCACAGCTCAGGAGATCATCAAGCACTTTGAAGGACAGCCAGCAGATTTGGTGGTCTGCGACGGAGCTCCAGATGGTACGCTTGAGTGCTTGAGTGAGAAATGCAGCACGTTGAAAAGAAACTGATAGATCACAGATGAGCCATAGTGTGTTACAGCACTGAGCCAGCTACCTCTAAGCCGGCCGTGATGAAACTGGTTTCACATGTGTAGGGAGTTGATGGTCCCAGCATGGTCACCAATGATTGCACACAAAAAACCTGTCATTAAATAATTTTTCACGTAATTTGGCTTAATCCACTTCTGATAATTAACACTGCTCAATTTAATTGACATACCAGAAACGTTCCTTAGATGCCAAATCTAAGGTGTGTCGCCAGTGTCTTGTTGGGATAATTCTGCTATTAAAGTGGCTTGGATGTAGTTTTGTAACGTCATATTCCAGGATTGTTTTCTGCGACAGTTCCGAATGGAAAGTTCTCCCAACTCATGATATGGCACCGCTGGTGCACTTGTGAAAAATTTGGATGAACAAGAATCTGTTGTCGTCATGATCGTGTATATTTGGCTATTTACTGTGCATCTTATGTTTCAGTCACAGGACTTCATGATATCGACGAGTACATTCAAGCACAGCTGCTTCTGGCGGTGAGTTCATATTGAATACAATCCTCACAATTATCACAAGTGGTTAGTTCACAAGTAAGCAGAATAATCAATATTAATAAATGTATTGGATGCATCATTACACACCTATCATTGCTTCTCTAAGCAAATGGTGCTATTTATAGATTTGAGAAACCAATTTAATAATTGTGGGCAGGATCCCGGATCTAAACCCAGTATATCAGTAGTAACATGCCTCTGCCCTGGCAAAGTAACAACCTCCTCCTACCCCTCAAACCCCTTGATCCACACTTCCGGTTTCAGCTTTTCCATTTTGGCCGCTGTGTTACTGCAGGCCCTGAATATCACCAGCCATGTGCTGAAGCGGGGAGGCACGTTCGTGGCGAAGATTTTCCGTGGCAAGGACGTGACGCTGCTCTTCTCACAGCTCAAGGTCTTCTTCCCGCTCGTGACGTGTGCCAAGCCCCGCAGCAGCCGCCACTCCAGCATAGGTGCGAGCGTCTACAGCAGCAACAACAGCATCTAGGGCAACGGCTTGAGCAACAGCCACAGCAGCATTCAGAGCAACAGCGACAGTAGCACCTAGGGCAGCAGTACGCACAAAAACTACAACATGTACAACACTTTTGACAATCCACTGCTGGATGAAGGCCTCCCAATGCATTGCGGGTCATAGGGATTATTTGATCTTACTTCACCATGCTGGTCAGTGGCTCAAACCTACTGTTTTTCTGAGATTTTATGAGATTCGGCACATTCTGGGTGATTTGGCCATAGGCAACGAACACAACAGTAAAAAAATCTGCCAGTCTAGTCCATTCGGGGAACCTCTGTTTTGTTAGAAAATTCTCAGGCTGTTAAGAACATAAAAATGCACATCTCTGTACACAGATACGTTGCACACACTAAAATACCGGTGTGTGACAATGGAAGAATGGCGTCCTCTGGCGATTCTAAGAGCTTGCACGTTTGGGTGGAAGACGTCTTCCACAGTCTCTCTTAGGCACAAAGTAGTTATACCCATACGTTGGCACATGGACGAACACCCACGTGCTTATATTGTAACGCATGCGTGATGATGTGGGGAGGCCTTCATTACAGCAGTGAAAAGAGCAAGGTTGATGGTGATATGAAATAAAAAATATTTAATAAAAATACGGAACTTCTTGAGGCAATTAATCGAAAAGAGACAAACATTGCTTGATTCTTGAATGGAATCCTGACCCCGAAGCATGAAAATTCATAGAATATAGGGGGAATGGAGTGAATTTTCACATGCATACTTCCACGCAATGACAAGTACCGGGGGCGGCTGTTGACATTTTTTTGCATTTGCCTGTTGTCCCAGAGGCGTTTGTGGTATGCCAGAACTACGATCCTCCCGAAGGTTACATCCCCAACATGTGCAACCCCTTACTCGACCATGAATACGGTAGGAGCCCACTCGGCAATCTTTCTGCCGCACTCATCAGTACAGTCTGGCTCTGCCGCACAACTTGACATGATTGTTCCTGCAGCTGTTATTTTATTTAGGTGATGAAGTACGTTACTTTGCCTGTTATATATTGCTTTATACTGGTTTCGGTAGTGCCTTGGGTATCATTGTGACCGCGTGCATAGGAAAGCTTCCGTGTACTCATCCTTGTTTTATTTCTGATTCTCAAGTTACGGACAAACATTTTTCCATACATCAACAGTAAGATGAATTTGAAACAAACATTTTCCAGTAAATTAACAGTCAGGTGATGATGTTTAAAATACTCGAAAGCAGCTAAGGTAACTTCCTATAATGTTTTTGGGAATATCCATCAGCTGGAAAGAAAGTTACAGACTGAAATAAAAACATAAATAGATCCATGTGATGAAAGAGAAAGAAAAGTCTCATAGCATCATGGAGACAACCCAGAATACTTTTCAACTGTATTTTGTGAATTTAAGAAAGTAACAAGACTGACATAGGTATTGAAAACCCAAAACTTTGTTCACTAATGTTTAAATCTGTATAATACATATGGGTTTGTCATGTTACGCTCTTCAGAATCAGAATCTTATTTAGACAGGAGGAATCCGATGAGCTATGAAGCTCTTTCTCACAGATGCTCAGTAGGGGCGGGTCTAAAAGTTCCAACAACAAAACAAAAACCGAGAGGACTGTAAAGTATAGGAAAGGTAAAGAATTCAATAAATTGTAAAAGTATATCAATTCCTGCCGATGTTTCAACAATAAATGTAAGCTCTACCAAGGAATACTTTATCAAGGACATAAGACCATAGGCTGCACCTCCGATCTGTACGGATGGTTACGTACGGTGCGAAAGAAGTTCAACATACATAGTCTAATGTGTGATAATAAGCCTTTTGGATTGTCACTTGAAGTACGTTACATCAGCTTGCAGCGACCGTGCACTGCTGTCTGCGAGAGCTCGGTTTGTAAATTTCTTCATCTCCTGACGTGACAGCTTTACCTCATTTGCAATGCAGCATGATTGAGATTTTTTTTTTTATTCTTCAAAAATATTTTTATATATAAAAAAAATGCTCCCCTGTGCATCTCTCTGCAGATGTGGACTTTAACCAACTGGAAGGACCCAACCGAATCATCGTGCCGTTCCTAGCATGTGGGGATCTCAGCGCCTATGACTCCGATCGCACCTACCCACTTCAGGTACGGTAACTATCCCACAGAAGCCCCGCTGTGCCTTTGTTATAGAGCATCTTGATTGATAAGCACCTGCCTGCTTATTAAAGAAAGGACACAGTCCAAAAAACAAACAG